TGTTTTGTTTCCCCCTACCAACCCTTAAGCTTCCTTTTTTTTTTTTTTTTTTTTGAATCTCTAAAGATAAGAAGGAATAGTGACTTGGTTTTGAGCAGTAGGAGCTCTTTCAGACACTCTAATTTTATGAGGCCATAATTGGCTTATTCTTTGTAAAGTGACATGGATCTGACAGACTGGGGACAGATCAACTAGAAATCACAGGTATACCTGACTTGGAAGAATTTTAAAAGCTGCACACACGCAGGAAGGCTGGATGTTCAGTCAAATCTAACATTTCTGCAATGGGAAAAGCTAATCTGATGGGCACAATTGAAGTGGATTGGTTATTCAAAGGGCCAGCTTTGTTTGGATATTAGATTAAACTTTAGACCATGACTTTACAAAAGCCACTGTGTGCGTGCAGCTCTAGACTTATCGTGATTTTATACTCTGTAGAGACAGTAGCTAGGGGTAATGTAAATATTACCACAGCTGTTAAGTAGTTGTAGATCTTATACCCCCTTACATCTTATACCCCTATCATCTTCTAATCCTTTCCCTCCTCTCTTCCTGGCCTCTGCTCCCATCTATCCCATCCTCCCTGGAAGCGTCACACCTCACCCCTCGTCTCTGTTCGGCTTGTAGTGACTCAGAAAAGACTGACGATCCCTCAGAAACTGATAGTGAGATTCCTGGAGAGGAGGAAGCTGCGAAAGAGGAGGAAGACAAGAAGGTGAGATGACTGGGATGTGGGTAACCATATAAATGTGCCCATACACCTCACAATTATCTGCAGATTTTCTGTGGTCAGATGGAAAAAGTGCAACAGATTGGCCCAGGTGGAGATTACTCCATCCGCACAGTTAAGTGTAGATGGAGGAATCTGTTGCACCTTTTCCATCTGACCACAGAGCATCTGCAGATAATTGTAAGGTGTATGGCCAGATTCAGAGAGAGATTACAGGTGCAAGTGTTGGATAAAAGTTTAAATTTTGTGGCCATAGCAACCATAGGGGTTTTTTGTTGTTTTTTTAGCTCAATTGAAAAGTGTGTGTGTGTGTGTTCAATCAGTTGCAGAGACCGTTAAGTGAAACTGATTTACACGGTTTTGCAGAGGGCAGCTCCGTGAAACTGATTGGACACGGTTTTGTTACAATTGCCATATTATAAGTATAGTGCATGTTACTGAGACTTGAAATTCTTGTTGAAGAAATGGAAATCCAGATGTTTAGGGAACAGAACTATCTGGCAAATACACTTTAACTATCACAGACAATGCAGTGGCTATTCATTGGTAAATGAACAGCAAAAAGATCTGTCACTCAGTATAAATATGATAGCTTAGCAAAAAAACGAAGTAAAAAATATTATATATTTTTCTCTTCCATTGAGGGACCAACTAATTCAGGTGATCGGGTTATACTGCCACCTACAGGAGGATTGAGCACTGGCAAACACTGTAAGCCAGTGCCTGTATAACCCCCCGCCCCCCCCTCTACCCAGCATGCTTTTGGTTTTAATACTAGCATCCTAGGAGGCAATCAATATACCTCACTACACTGCTGTTTAAGCTGGTTTCTACATAGCAGCTATCTGGATAGGCTTTTCTTAAGCGTGACTTTGGAGTGTCCTACCTGGATCCTGCTGGGCATGCGGAATGTAACCTTTGGTAACTGAGCTCTGCATTGTGGCAGTTTTCAGTTTGTCTTCTGGTAAAAATAGCTGCAGAGCGGTTTCCATTCCACGGCACTTGACCCTGTTTCTAAAGACTTACACTATTGAGTAAGGGCATTCTAGCTAAAGCACCAGAAGCTACCTCACTAGTTGCATTACTGGGCACCTTTTAAATTTAGCTGCAAAGACCTCCCCATTACACCCACTTTTGGTCCTGCACCCCACCTGAGTGTGCAGGAAATGTTCCCCTTTTAAAGGGAATTTGTTAATCGGAGATCTATTTTTACTGTGGCTCTGCCAGTAACCGGGCTTACCAGGGGCACAACTAGACAGGTAGAATATATTGTAAAGCCGTTAAGGATTCTACTGACCGGCAGCTTGAACTAGCTGGTTCTGCCCTCCGTTCAGTGTTGGCAGTGACCTTTTAATCTGTCTAACCTTGTCAGATTATTTCAGTTTCCCTTAAATAGGATTTTTTTACCACCAGGGTAGATCCGTGTTTCGTGGAGCAAATGTCTGGAGTGTTATGCTTCAATTTGTCATGGCTTGTTTCAAGCTTGTACACTTATGTTCCGCATGGATCTCATAGCCATACAGATCCACAGAGCACTCTGGTTGCAGTTATAAAATACTACTGCCATATCCAAGGAGCATCTGACTCACTTGGCCTTCAATGGACATTATTTCTTTGGCCCTGCACTTGTCTCCATGATCAGTAATGCCACAGGAGGCCAGAACATACTCCTGCCTCAACAGGAGTCCTAGGGAGAGGTCACCTAAATCCCACCCTTCTCCATCTACTTCTGTTGTAGTTGCCCTCAGGCCCCTAGAGCCTGACTTCTGCATGAAGATATGCCCCTACTTATACAAGGGGGGGGATGGTGCAGGTGCCCCTACTCGGACGCAGACAGGATCCATCCTGTCAGCGTACGGACACCCGCACGGCCTTGCAGGTTGGGTGAGCGTAGGGCGGCATACGGCCGCATACTCCCATAGAGAAGGACAGGCTGCTGCGTGTTACCACACGCAGCACCTGTCCTTCCCAGGAGAGGCCCGATACGGCTGTGCACGCAGCACGGATCTGTACAGGCCAGCTGTGTGAATGAGGGCTTACCTGGATAATGACCTGGCTTCTCAGTGTCCTCAGGCATTTCTGCTACTGCTCCAAGCATTTCCAATCCTCCTTTAACCTGACTGTATCTGAATTCCTGTGTCCCTCCATGGACTCCAAGAAATGGATTTTAGGATAACAAAAATCCTCTTTTTATTATTTTTTCTTCTAGGCACTGTGTCTTTTTATATATTGTATTAATATGGTAGGAAGACCTGCTTTCATTTTTGAGGATTATGATGAGACTATTTGGCATCTGAGTTGTGATCATTCTCAGAATATAATAGCTTGTAACCTAGTGTCAAAGTATTTGAGTTCTCTGTAGATTACATTGCGAGTGTGGCCTGTGCTGTAGTTAGCTAGAGTAGACGACAAAGTGGCGTATAGGGAGCAGTCCACAGTAGTGAGTGTGATGAAGGCATGTGTGTCAACTTCCTTCTTTCAAAGTTCACTTTTGCATCACCATATGCGCTGACTCATTTTGTAAAATGTTTTATTTAGCTTGCATCCAATCTTTGTTTAAAAAAAAAAAATCATTTTATCTTTGGTGCTCAGTGTTTTTTGGGGTGGCATGTAAAAACATAAAAAGGGATTTGATCCTCACCTGAGGTTGCTGTAGAGACTAGGTGATTCCAACTGCTATTTGTCGGTGCACCTAAGAGCTCCGTGGGTGTGCAGATCATCCATAGTAGCCAGTAAAATCTGAAAATGTGAGCCGGGCCAGAAGTATACAGGAAAGTGAAGCTAGCTGAATACAATTGAAGAAAATGGCAAATAACAAATGTTGTTAGACTTTTATATATCACTGACGATTTATGCAGCACTTTACATACTATACATTCACATCAGTCCCTGCCCTCAAGGAGCTGGCAATCTAAGGTCCCTATCTTGCGCGCACTCACGTCCATTACGCACTCACGCCCATTACCCTACCTACCTGTCTTTAGAGTGTAGGAGGAAACTGCAGTGTGCAGACGAAACAAGCAAACTCCTGGCAGGGATTTGAACTGAGGACCCTATTGTTGCAAGGCAGGAGTGGTAACCACCAAGTCACTCTGCTGCCTATGTTCTATGCAGAAAATTTGTCAAGGGAGAACTTGTGTTTAATGAAGAAACGCAAAAAATATATAAAAATATGTAGAAAATAATCCTCAGCAGTGACTTGGCAGGCTTCCAATCTTCTAATCTCTAATTTAAACACAAGTCCACAGGCCGAAGGGAGAGAAACGTGTGCTTAGACTAGAATAAAAACTTCACTGCATTTTAAAAAATATATCTTTTAAGCCTTCATTCTGTGCACCAGGAATACAGGCCATTGTTAATGCGCCTCTGCACAAAAGTACCCTGCGTCTCAGTGTGGCTCGTTTTAAAAACAAAGCTGCACACACTACTTTGATGTGATTGTCGCCCACTGGGCTGCCCATTGAAATGAAACTTTCCAAAAGTGCTGCAACTCGCTGTTTAACTCGCACAGGTGTGATCTTTTGTGGACTTAGACTGCCTGCAGCTACATTGGTCAGTGATGGCTTGTTTTAAAGCCTATTTACTGCTTGTTAAGAATGTCAATGACCTGGCCACAGTTCAAACTTTCAGCAGCGCCTGTCTGTAAATACATTTAGCAATTAATTCGAGCTGCAACTAGCACCATATATCACGTTCTACATTTGAACCCATTTTACGATGGAATTTTTTTTCAGTGGCATCACATATGTGGAATGTGTTTGTGCTGAAAGTGCACTCAATGGCCCACCTCCAGCACGAAGACTGAGCTGTTACCGACCGACCGCTTCCTATCTTAGACTAATAATTAGGAGCCAGGAGGACCAGGTCCTAGTCAGGTGATCATTAGTAAGAGGCGCCTCACCAATGTCTTTCTCCTGTGAGGAGAAAGAGATGCAGTGTATCGTCTTCATTTACCTACCGCCGCGCTCGTGGGCGCCGCTGGGCTGAAGAAAGTCTGCAGCTTACCCGGACGAGGTGTGCCCGGCTTGGTAGGCGACTTCTTCTTCTTGGTTTTGCTCATCTCTAGGGGTTGTAAGTGCTGTAGATTGTCCCGGCAATGGAGCGGTGAGGGAGAGTGGAAGAAAAAATGTGCTCACTCCGCCATGGTTAGGACACGCCCCCCCCCCTCTTCATTTTTTATTAGGAGAAAAAAAAAATAGTATCAGCATTAGCGTTATGGCCAGTGTTAGTGTGTTTTTAAATAGGCTTAAAAAAGCTTTTTTTTATTTAGTGTCGCTGACTTTTTTGTAGTTGCAAAGATGGGTTCAGGTGATAACCCCTCAAGGACAAAGGCCTTCTTTTAATTTTTTGTTTACATGTTATAATCCACTTTTTGGACCTGAAAATTGCTTAAAACCCCCCAAACATTATATATTTTCTGATAGCCAAGACCCTATAGAATAAAATGGTGGCAGTTGCAAATTCTTATGTTGAACAACATTAGCACAAGTTATTATCAAACCCAAACATTTTGTGAAAGATGCACTTAAGTTAAATTTAGGGCCCCAAAACACTGTATAAAACCTTTTTTATTTTTTTTAAATATAAAAGATGAGGTTACAACGCGTAAATAGATACCCATTGTGACGGACCGCCTAGTACCCCGACTGGGTACCTCCGTCAGAAATAAGCTTCCTCTCTGCTGGAACCTGAATGCCAGTGTCTTCAGCCCAAACCTGCCTAATTATTGGACGGAACTAATATATTAGGACAGGAAACTAAACTCTTCAAACATCAGACAACGCCAATGTTGAAGTGGAAACCAAGAACTGGTTTATTGAAGAAAGCACAGAGTTTATACCTCACAGAATCGGATAAGAGTTCAGTGTGTTACATTGAACAATTCCCTCCCCTAGACAGCCGGGGGCCGCATTGGAATACCTTAAGCACAGACACTCTTTGAACCTAATAAATGTCCTTAATTAAATGAGTGCTTGATCCCATCATCCCCAAACTATGGCCACTCCAGACAGCCTGCTGCCTTCACAAAATTATGTTTATCAGAGATGTTATCTAAACAAGATGGAAGTCCGGATGGTTCAAATCAAGTCAAATGGTGAAAAGCTCTCTCTAGATAGTTACATGGTTACATACCATGTTTCCCTGAAAATAAGACACTAGGTCTTATTTTCGGGGGATGTCTTACCTGGCTGCAGCTGTCCGCCCTGCCGTCCAGGGAGCCACAGACATGTGGGCGTGCGGGAGGGAGCTGCGGCTAGCGCTCTGAATGCCGTCCAGGGAGCCGCTCTGGGTGCTCTGTCAGCCAATCGGAAGGCTTCTGGCAGTGTGTGTGGGGGGCCCCACAGAAATCCCTGTGGGGGATATTACAGAAATCCCTGAAGATTGTGCTAGGTCTTATTTTCGGGGTAGGTCTTACTTTCGGGGAAACACGGTAGTAACATATACATTATTAAACTGGAAAACACACACAGCAAACAGTTCTCTGGGGTAATAAATCTCTGCATCCCTAAGTCAGTAGGAAGGAGGCTAGCCCTCAGGCTCCTCCAGCAGCCCCAGTGACATGCATGCTCGAGGGGGATTTTAAATATTTTAAAAAAATTATCTTTACATTTTAATATTTTTTAAACCGTTTTTTTTACTTTAATTCCTATCACATAAGGGGGCTTACAAGCCCATGTGATAGCATATTGGTGGTGACAGGTCCTCTTTAAGGTGATAATGGGGGTCAAAATACCCCTAACATCACCTTTCCACTCTAAATAAGCTATTGAAGTGCAGATCACACTTCAATAGCTTATTGCTGGGCTTCAGGAGCCCAGCAATGACAGCTCAGGCACTGGAAGTGATGCAATACACGTCGATCCCGCTCCCATAGAACTGGGAGGAGATCGAGGAACGGACATTCACCACTCTCCTCCCCAGCTTCCTGCCGACACCCAAGATGCCAGTCCCGGGCCCGTAGGAGGGGCAGCAGAGCCCAGGAAACACTGCGGGCATGGGGGGCGGTCACTTTACTGGATCGTCGAATCGATCTAGCGACAGCTGAGTCTCCAGAATCTCGTCTGCCGCCTGTCCTGCGTCTGTTTTAACCCCTTGAGGATTCATTAAGGGATTATCCTGTCATGGTTCGTGAAGGGGTTAAAGGAGAACTGTGGGGAACCTTTTTTTCCCCCATAGTTCTCTTCAGGGTCACAAGGACATATACTGTGTCCTCCGGTGACCCAAAACTATTGCCTGCTATATGTTGAGAGCACAGGGACGCTCCACAGCTGGGATAGATCCTGACAATACTGTCAAGATCCACCCCACTGGCTGATTGACAGCTGGCTCTGCCTCTCTCCGTTCTCTGCAGGGAGAGGGTCGGTAAGTCCGCAATGGGCGGTATGTGTTCGCTGACTTCCCGATCAATAAGAGCCGACCTGTGACAGCTTCAGTGTCACGGATCTGCTTGTATTATAGGAAAGAGTAGTTTTTACTCACCCCATAATTCCCCTTTTAAAGGGTTATTAAACCCTCTGGTTTTTTGTTTTTGCATATATCTACTGCTAGCAAGCAGTAGATGTATGCAAAAAGTGTAAAAAAAAACAAATGCTTTCAAAGAGGTTAATGCTTACCTGTCTTCGCCGGGAGACGAGGAGAGACACAAGTTAAGTATATGGACGCGTGTACCGGCATGCAGACACAGTGGGACAGGAAGTGCCAACAAGGACAGAGGAGTCGGAGCTGGATTGGAGACCCGCTGGAGAGAAGGCTGAAAACGACAGGAAAAAAGATCGGATTAAGAAACAACATTTAAGGTAAGTGCTTTAATTAACATTGGGGGAGGGAAAACATTTTTTGACTTTAATGTCACTTTAAGGTTTGTTTGACCTTCCGTCATTAAGGGGTTAAGGAGCCATGAAAAAAAAACAAACAAGTTTTTCGCCCATCAGTGCTGAGCAGCTCCATTGCTTGGTTTGGGACAAATTATTGCCAAATTGACAAAGGGCCTAAATGTGTGCTGATTATGGAAGAATTATAGACTGTACAAGGTATGTTCTAAGTCACTACTGACTATACAAAATGAATGTTGTGAGATTTTGAAAAAGGGATACAAGTGAAGGATTTGTGTAGTTTTGCATTTCATTCATGTAAGGTTTTCTTAAATGCAATCTTATCTGGTAGGAAGAAGAGGATGAGCCTGGAATGTGGGACGAAACCTTTAAAACTCATACAGACAGCAAGCCTAATGGTAAGAAGGTTTACGATGAAGATGCTTCTAAAATGGTTTTCATAATTTAAACAGAAATCTGAAGAAAATGCTAGTTGTCTGGCTGTGACTGACTTAAATATTTTTGAGTTACAGACCTAGAACAAGGATGCTTTTAAAGGGGTCAAACCTGCTTATGTCTACACTTGTCTCAGGTCAGCGACTCAAAGTATTGCAGTCAATGCATGAGCATGTCAGCCAGAGAACATCATTCTCACATGTAGAGTTTGTAGAGCAATGGCAACCTCTTATCCTCACACAAGTCCCTTTTGACTGCGAGATACTTTTCATATACACACCCCTCTCCCCCCCCAACTCCTATCCCATCCTGGGAGGGGTTTGCTCTCCATTTATCAAACTTTGACTTAAGAACTGCTAGCCTTGTATATTGCTAACAATCCTATTGTTACTTTTGTAATATTTTAAATGTGTTTAGCAAAGATTTTAATCAGGACGTTTTGCTAAATGAGTGCCATTATGTGGTTCTGTCTAAAGATGTTGATTAATATTAAGGCCCACTTCACACAGGTTCCTTCTGTTCCGTTCAGCAAGGGATGCATGCATAGATCCCTTCCTTCCTAATCGGGGCGGTTAGGATCGGATGTCACTGTTGTTATTTCTGTGTCCATCCATTTTTTTTCTTCCCTCCATCTTGTGATGGAGGAAAAAACTGAAATTACCATACCCATGTTGGTCTAGGGGAGTCGAATGTAAACGGACACGTGTCCCCTTTCATTAGATTACCCCCTATCGGTCACTATCGGGTCCCCCAAAACGTAACTGTTACATTTGGTTTTCCAGACCTGGTCGGAGTCGGGGTGATCAGATTTAAATGGATACATGTCCGTTTAGATCCGGCTGCCCTTAGACTAAGGCTGCCCATACACCTTGCGATCATCAGACGACACTTTTCGCCCGATCGAATTGTCGTACGATTTTAGTACAGCGGCCCCATCCTGCCCCGATTATCGCAAGGTTGGATCAGCGGTAGTTAAAAGAAAGCACCTGGACGAATTGCGGTAATCGACCGCACGTATTTTCGTCTGCGCATGTGCAGTGTAAATTGTACGAATTTTGACCTACGGAAACGCCACCAACCTTGCGTAAATCATACGACCGACCGAGTTTCTTACCTGCTGGTTAGTCAAAAGGCGATCGATTTGTACAGCCAAAATCTATTCCAAAGTGTAGCCTTTTTATAACGGCAGCACAATGACATAGGGAAAGAGGTACAAATAGCTCTATAGTTCCTTCACACTCGCATTCAAATTCTGTTACCAGTTTAATGCGCATTATTTTGTGCTCCAATATCTGCGTCTCCTCATTTATGGAAATCTAGCCTCATGGTGTATCGGTCTTGACTGTATTGTATTTTGTTGCTTTACTTAGGCTGGCCAATTTTGATAAATTCCCCCATGTTGGTTTTTTTTTAATTCTTGGGCAGCCCCTCTGGCTAAACGAGAAACACTTGCTTCCCCCGTCTACACTAAACAATATGCATGGCGGATCTACACCCAGGCAGGTAGATCTGCCCATCGTTTACTGTGTCAGGAGTTACTACTGATGTGACTTATCTGACAGACTAATGCCTTCTTTTCCCTCACTTCAGTGAGGAGAGATCAGCCAGAATGTCCAAACGTTTTAAGATCTCTTTGATAAAGGGGTACTTCTGATGTAGGTGCAAGCTATTGCTTGTTAGAGGTACCCTTTAACCAGTTGACATCCGCGGTGTTAAACCCCCTTCCCATCCAGGCCATTTTTCAGTATTCAGCGCTGCGGTACTTTGACTGACATTTATTCCGTCATGCAGCGCTGTACTGAAATGAATTTTATACCCTTTTTTGGGGACAGATAGAGCTTTCTTTTGGTGGTATTTATTCACCACTGGGGTTTTTATTTTTTTACTATATTAAGGAAAAATCACCGAAATTTAAAAAAAAAAACAGTTTCCCCTATATTAAATGATAAAACATTTATTATTACCCAATTTTTTGGTAAAATATAAAAGACGGGGTCACGTCGGGTAAAAAGACACCAAACATGTCAAGCCTTAAAATTGCGTGCGCGCGCAAAACCTCAAAAAACGATAATACCCAAAATTGGCCATAGGCGACGCTTTAAAAGCTGTTACCGCTCATCAGTTTAGTGTTATCAGTGATTGATGGCCCTAAAATGATTTCTCTCACTGCGACGTTCGCGGTGATATGTAACATGTGTAGCGCAATTGTAATTTTTGCGCGCTGGGGCACCGGACGCGTATTTACGTTTATAGGCGCGTAAAAGTGGGGGTGGGAGAGTTAAACATTTTGGGGGGTTTTTTCCCCTTTTTTTATATGTGACTTATTTTATTTTACTTTTTTATGTTACTTTTTATTTTTTTTTATTTATATATTTTTTTTTGCACTTTTTGTTATTGCTATTATATAGGGGGGATAACAATCCCCCTATATAATAGCAAAGGCACACTGACAGGTCCACTTTATGGAGACATTAGGGTTCTCTAGGACCCCTAATATCACCTGTGGACCCCAAAAGAAGCTGATGAAGCTGCCGCGAACGAACACATATAGGCGATCGGCGGGCTATGGACCCGCTGATCGCCTATATGTGAAACACCCGGTACCGGGTGTTCGCATTGGACGGGTCTTTTCTGCCCGTGTGTGCCCGCTAGGGGGCGCGCGCGAGCAGAAAAAAAATGCCGTCAATGCAGCAGTGCCGTCCGTCCGTTTTTCTACTACGGGCGGACGGCAAGAGGTTAAAAGCCTGATCCTCAGCTAAGGTTTACATTGGGGCAGGATTAGACTGTTATGGCCAGCCTTGTATAGAACAGTCAGATATGCTGGTCTTTTGTAGGTAATTAAGTCTTGCATCTCTGTGTGAACCCTCTGCAGGTCCTTCTTCGGTGGGTCTCGACTTCTCTCTACCGGGATTTGAACATGTATATGGAATTCCAGAACATGCAGACAATTTACGACTACGAACAACAGAGTAAGTGTAAAATGTTCTCTCTCATGTCATGAAAGAAAGGTCCTGCGCTCAAACTGCTCTGATACTAAATCAACAACTGCTAGCACCTAAAATGAACTATGTTCATCTTAAAGTGAAAACAATAATTGACATGTGCCGTGCTGATTGAAAAACGACTATATTTGTTTACACATTCTCCACTTTTCACTGCGGTTTTCACTGGCATTTTAGATGGTCTTTTATTAGCGTGGCACATTTCAATGACTGTTTTTACATGAATAAGTCCAACGAGGGTGCCAAATGAGAGAGGTCCAGAGTCCAAAAACATTTAGGGTGCATTGACACCAAAATTGTAAGAAAATCGCAAGTCATTGGAGGGTCTTTTTGACTTGCAATTGTACCTTCAGATTTCCTTCCAATCCGTTGTGTTGTGATACGTTTTTCAACAGATGCTAACGGATGGCCAACAAGAAGTGAATGGGGCTAGTTCACTCGGATCTGTTAAGTTGTGCAGAACAAAAGCAGTGCATGTTCTACTTCTTCCTTTTTTTTTTTTCTTTTCTTCAGTGGAATGGAGTGGTGTGATCTATCCCCAGTTACACCCATTCATTTTTAGTTGCCCATCTGTTAGCATCCATTGAAAAACGTATTGCATTTGTTTACAATCAACAAAACAGAAAAGTCAATGTGTCTTGGGGACTCAAATAACTTTTTTCCTCCGGGCTTAATCTCAATGGGCATTAATATGAACTGAATGCTGGGATTCATTTTTTGCTGTATAGCTAAATCAGTGAATTGGCAAAGAACGTCCTCTTGCTCATTCACTGACCTTTTTTTAAAAATTTATTTATTTTCTTCCTTACCCCGTTTTGTTTGGTGCCCTTATCGGACTTTATGTATGTTAATCTCTCACGCTGATCTTCTCTCATTGTAGAGCAAAGAATTATGTAGGACTTTACCTTGGAGTTCTTCTTCTTAAACTAGTCAAGAATACATTTTTACCTGAATTATCAGAATGGTCATTTTTGGTCTGCTACTAAAGAAGGCTGATGAGCCTATGTTCTGTGATGCATTTTTAAAAGGGATATTCCACTAAATACAGGACACTTACTTCTATTATATGCATGCACCTTGGGTCATATGATATCTGGCAGTCATCTTCCGAAATTTATGGACTGTATATCTTTTCTAAAGAACTGAAGAAAAAGTTAATTATCCTGTCTATTTTCCTATATTTGTACAGTCCAGACAGTCCATCTGCTTAGGTGCTTCAACCAGCTTGTGTATTTCACATCTTCTAGTAGAAATTTGTTTTCGGTATTTTATAAATGTATTTATTTTTTAGAAAAGCTGTCTTTTTGGTTTTTCAGGAACACAGATCCCTACCGCTTGTATAACCTGGATGTCTTTCAGTATGAACTGTATAACACAATGGCTTTATATGGAGCTGTACCACTGCTGCTAGCTCACAACATTCACCGCACGTTGGGTATCTTCTGGCTAAATGCTGCTGAAACCTGGGTAGATATTACCTCTAACACAGCCGGAAAGGTGAGCAAATATGACCAGTAAAGGAAAAGGAAAAATACTGAAATGTTAATCACTCGGTAATTTTATCATTTTGTCACATCACAGACTCTCTTTGGGAAGATGCTTCAGTATATGCAGGGAGGTGGGGAGACCCCTCAAACAGATGTGCACTGGATGTCTGAGAGTGGCATTGTTGATGTATTCCTTCTACTGGGACCTTCTCCAAGTGACGTGTTTAAGCAGTATGCCAGTCTCACAGGTATTTAAACTGATATTATGTTTGTAAAAAAAACTTTTTATTGAAACAACCAAAGAAAAAGGAACAGAATACAAATGCAATGCAATACAATACATACAATACAATGGAGTACAAGGCATATAAAAATACAAAACTGCCTGTCGTAGTCTTGGCAAACATAAGACTACTGCAAGTATTATTAATTGACAAGAAAATGAGCCTATCTTCTGGCATTGTACAAGGATAAATGGGGACGATCCTTTATGAAAGCGTGGAAAACAAAGAGGTGATGGAGCAGATGAGAAAAAAAACCAAAGGGGGAAAGAAGTAGAAAATCACCTGAGATAGGAACAGGAAAGGAAAGAGAGATGGGGATGTGTAAACTGGTCCCAAAGCTACCTTCAAGAAATCGCATAGGAAAAAAGTCTGTCAATCAACAAGCAATCCACATAGGCCCTTTCGTAGTGCAAAAGTGGAGCCAAGTACTCCACACCTCATAAAATTGCATATGACGATCATGTAAAGTGGCAGACAATTCCTCTAGCCTACATATAGCGTGCATTTCAGCAATCCAGTCTGTCAAAGTGGGACTGGTTTGTGACTTCCAAAATCTCAGTATAACCACCCTGGCAGCCAGCACTAAAAACTAGTTACCCGTTTTTTGCCGACTTAAAAGAAGCCAGCAACGTTGAGAGAAGAGCAGGCTGAGGGATCCACTGTAATACCAGTTACTGATTGATAAGTACCAAAGATGGAAGGCTAGAAACGTTTAATCCCAGGACATATCAAATGTGGAGCATCGAGCCCCGTTCGGAGAGACAGTGCCAGCAAAGATCCAGACGTTGAAGGGTAGATGGCATGTAAACAAGTGCAACAGTAATACCATCTGGAAAGCATTTTAAAATTACATTCCTGATGGACACTAGCCATAGAGAGTTTGTGAATAAATACAAAAGACTTACGGTAGTAATTTAGGACTCAGAAAAAGAGCAAGAGAGTTCAGTAGCCCAGTCTCATGTACTGGGGAACATCTTGTTCAAAGAATGACAACAGAAGGCCATAGAGAGTAGACATTGGGCGTAACGGGACATTGGATCCCACGCATAAGCGTTCAAAATCCGAAAGATCCCTGTCAAGAGAGCAGCTGCGCGGCATTAAAGAACAGAAATCTCGCAGCTGGAAATATTCCATCCATCATCCTGGGGTCCTGTCAGTCATCTAATAGAGCTGAAGGAGGGCTAAGATCTTGACCCATCAGTGCCGAACTAAGTGTGGGAAAAAAAAAGGATCTGTCCTTTTTTTTTTCAAGATGAGCTGGAGGAAATTCTGGGTTTTCCATAATAGGAATGAGGGGGCCGGCATAGGAAGAGGAAATTTTTTCTAATGAGTAGGTCCCAGTGGCGTAAAAATGATCAGACAGGCAGAGATCTACGGGGAGAGCGAAGAGAAGAGTCCAGCCATGGCAGAGAAGTCGGAGATAAGGGTGAAATAATAGAATCTAAATGCATCCACAGTTTCTGAGAGGAATGAAAAATGGAGTCAAGTAGTCTAGTGAGCAAAACCCCCTTGTAATACATCTCAATCTGCAGTAGACCAACTCTGCCGTATTGCTTACGACGAGGACAGTATAGCGAGTTCTTACTGTGAAACCAGGTAGATCTCAATAGATATGAGCAAAAAGAACAAAAAAATGAAGGGGAAAAGTCAATTGGAACCGTTTTGAAAGAAATAAAGGAGCCTCTGCAGGATATCCATCTTTAAATAAAGCCAATCGTCCAAACCAAGCATGGTTGAGACGAGACCGATCCTTCAATTTGCGATGTATAAATGCCAGTAATGGTTTGTAATTTAAATCTTAAATAAACTTGTATAGTTTGATCACATAACATGTATGACTGCCTCCACTTGTTGCCCCTTGTTTACTTGCAGAGAAGAATATCCTTGAAAAAAATGATCTGATATAGGAAGCCAAACCAATAGAAACATACAATGGAAAAATGACAGCTGGAGAATTAGTTAAGCTAGCATACACAGCTCGGTTTTTTTCTCTTCCCCATCCACACAAAATGGCTTGGGTGGCGTTATTTCCACTGCTGGCTATTGTATTGAGGAGCCGCTACCGGAATACAGTGGTTTTACCAAACAGTGACTGCTTCTGATGGGATGTGGTCACTATTCTGGCAAAAAATTCCCACCCAGTTCAGTTGATTTTTAAGTTGACTTTGTCGAGCAGTCTAAGGCCTGCTATAGGAGCTGTTGTGGCTGTAGACTAATAAGACAGATAGGGCTGCAACCAACTAATCGATTATGAGAATAGTTGTCAACTATTTTCTTTATCGATTAGTTGGTTGAATCCCCTAGCTCTCTCCTCCATGCTGGGAGGAGGGCACAGCGAGCCGTGAGCCGGTGCAATAGCCAGCCTGCTATTGCAATTTAAAATGGCCAATAGCAGGTTGGCTATTGTACCAGCCCACTACCTGCTGTATTTACATTCAGCTGCTGTCTGTGGAATCTTGCCACTAGCAGCTGTCATTCCCTGGCTGAAGCTATTCAAGCTCCATTGCTTACAATGCAAAAAAAAATATTGGGTGGTCGGAAAAGTCATTTTCGGTTTCGGCCTGACAAATTCTGCTGAGAAAGATGCGCTGCAGTGCCATTCATTTCAATGGCACCCCAGACTCGCCTCCCACCCACAGTGTGATCGCCCGCACTGGAACACACTGTACCGTAATGCTGTGCATTCTAGTGGAGTGTGATTGCACAAAAATGTTGCTTGCAGTTTTTTCGGAAGTAAACACTGCATTTGTGTCTTTTTTATTTTAAATGTGAGCATGGTATTTATTTTATTTTTTTTATCAGATTTAATTTAAAAAAAAATCATCAGCCAACTTATTGTTTATGAAAATAATCGTTCGTTGCAGCCCTAAAGACAGATCTCATCTTAGATGAGACTTGTTGAGATCATTTCAGCGTATATGCTATGGGATACAGTGCTTTGTTAGGCCACAGTGTCAATCTGCACCACAACTTTTAACTTGCTTACCATTATTTTTCTATGCATACAGGGACCCAGGCTTTGCCACCATATTTTTCACTTGGGTACCACCAGTGCAGATGGAACTACAATGATGAGGACGATGTGCGCAATGTAGACGCTGGCTTTGATGAGTATGATTTGCCCTATGATTTTATCTGGTTGGATATTGAGCATGCTGATGGAAAGAGATACTTCACATGGGACCCTAATAAGTTCCCTACACCCAAAAATATGCTGACTGGCTTGAAAGAAAAGAGAAGGAAAGTGAGTTAACTTCCATGTCATTCTGCCTTAGTGTAGATAAACTGTACAATTTGCATGATTATCAATTTATTTCTGGTTTGTTATTTAATATATATTTCCTTATTTCTCTTCGTACTACAGATGGTAACTATTGTGGACCCTCATATCAAGATTGATAGCGCTTACCGGATTCATAGTGAAATTCGATCCCGCAACTTATATGTTAAAACCAAAGATGGAAGTGACTATGAGGGCTGGTGCTGGCCAGGTAGGCTGTAGTGTTTTCTTGGGATGGCTTTACCTGTTTTAGGACCGCCCACCATCAAAAAAAGTCCTGTCCTGAAGCAGTTATACCGCTGCAGCAGGGTTCTTGTATCATTTTAAACGGCTGGCAATTGCTGTTTAGATACAAGTGGTTCATCATTTGCAATACAGTCATGAGCAGCTAGCACAGTGGCCCCCCCGAGGTGTAACCTCTCCCCCTTAAATTTAGATAATTGTAACACAAGAAGAAAAACAGGGGTTTTTGAGAGGTATTAACCACGGCTTGAAGTTTTTGTAAAAAATTTTTATTTAACATATGCTATAAATATACATGTAAAAAGCAACAAGCAGTTGCGATAAGTTAAAACGAGATTATACCAGGAGCATAGACCCATTTAACATACTATACATATCCATTATAGATCGATAATATTCATTCAGTATGTCCAATCCCTACACGTTTCACAACTTGGCTTCATCAGGGGATTGTAAACTGATCTAACAAAAAACAATATATTTAATCAATACATGTCAACAATTCGCTAGTAGGTCTATTGAATAGCATAGAGTCTATACAGGTATTCCTCACTTAACGACCGAGTTCTGTTCATACGACCAGGTCGTTAAACGAATTGGTCGTTCAGTGAGGAACTCTATACAGTACTGTACTGCATTAGTACAGTACTGTATAGCATTGCAGATGTACAGTACCGAACAGTGTACTGTATATCGGGCGATGAAAATACTTACCGGGACCCGCAGTGAAGATCGGAGGACATCACTTCCGCCGACGACACGTCGCACTGACGCGCAAGGTCGGCGGTCGATCGGCCGTCCGTCGTAAGTGCGAGTGGTCGCAAAGCAGGTAAGTCGGTAACCGAGGAATGTCTGTAGAGAGATGTGCTTAGGCACCTATACCAAACGGAGAGAGTCTCACCACCATTCTTCCCATCGTACACCAGTCACTCACCACCCAATCGGAGTAGCTTGGTATGGGTTGAGCTCCGACAGAAACACTCCGCCCAGTTTTTGTCCCGGGGACCTCGGGGCCACAATAAGAGAAGGATTTCGGGTATGCGCAGGAGGGCAGGACTGCCTATGCTTATCTTGTAGTATTCCTCTGCTTCAACTTCCATAGACCTGTTTTTCTATGTGATTGCATTTATTTAGTATTGCACATATGATAAGTTAAACATCATCCAATGCCCTATGCCCATGTGTGGAAATCTATATATGACTACACCTTGCATCACAGATACCTGAATAAATGAATTACTCAAAACCCCTTTGTTTTAATTCCATGTGTTTACACCCATCCTTTAATTAACCACTTAAAGGCCATAGTGTTTCACCCCCTTCCTGGCCAGGCCATTTTTCAGTATTCAGTGCTGCGGTACTTTGACTGATGTTTATTCTGTCATGCAACACTTTACTGAAACGATTTTCATACCATTTTTTGGGGACAGATAGAGCTTTCTTTTGGTGGCTTTTATTCACCAATGGGGTTTTTATTTTTTACTATATAACCAAAAAAGTACCATAAATTTTGAAAAAAAACATGTTTCCCTATAAAATTTTATTAAACATTTATTTTTACCCCAATTTTTTGGTACAATATAAAAGACGGGGTCACGTCGGGTAAATAGAGACTAAACATGTCAACCTTTAAAATTGCGCACACCCGCAAAATCGCAGGAAACGACCGCAGCCAAAATTGGCCATAGGCGACGCTTTAAACACTTTTACCGCTCATCAGTTTAGTGTTATCAGTGATTGATGGCCCTAGAATTATTGTTCTCACTGCGACGTTCGCGGCGATATGTAACATGTGCTGCATAATGGGCGCAATCGTCGGTTTCGTACATAGGCGCACCCGACGCATGTTTGCGTGTGTATGTGGGGGGCGGGGGACTTAAAAAAAAAATTTGTTATTTTTAAAACATTTTTTTAGCTTTATTTTTTTAGCTTCTTTATTTTTTTTAATGCTGTAATTTTTTTTTTTTTTGGACTTAACTAGGCCTGGGACCGGCATGGCGGGTCTCCCCACATTGATCAGAGGGAGATGGGTAAATTAAAGGCCCCCACGTGCATGCACATACTGTACAAGAGCACGCGTCGGGTGCGTCTACGTGCAAAAACAGAAAATAAATTGTGCCACACAAGCTTTTAAAGCGTCGCCTATGGAAAATGTTGGGTACTGTAGTTTCAGGTGTGAACGCAATTTTAAGGCTTGACATGTTTGGTATCTATGTACTCGACGTGACCCCATCTTTTATAGTTCAACAACAAATTGGGTATTCTGTTTCTGTGCACTAAATTTAATTTAAGTGTATTTTGGCCTAAAAATACTGTTTTGATAAACATTTGCGCAAATACAGAAATTGCAAATAGCATTTTTTTTTTATTCTACAAGGCCCCTGCTTTCAGAAAATATACACCTTGTTTTTAGGAGTTTTAAGCTGTTTTCTAGCCAAAAAAACAGATTTTTTTTATCATGTGTGCACAAATATTAAGATATTGCTCTGGACAGCAAGTGGCTAAACGAGGTATACTCACTACTTCAGGCCTGGGCAAATCCTAGTATCTGTTATTTAAATTAAAGCTGGCACCAGCATTTTCAAATCTGTACTGTTGTCAGGAGAACTTAATGTTCTTGCAAGTTCTGAGCTTGCCTCATTGCTAGTTCCAAAATTTGCTACAGGTCTTATAAACCTGTTTTAGTTATTACACTAAAATGTCCTGGTAAAACATGCCAGTCAGCCTGAACCTTCATTAGAATTTCCAAGTGATGTTCAATTTTTAGACTGAATACCTGCCTGATATACAAAGTTAGTAATATTAAATAGAAGGCACCATAAGGAGTCACTTTTTATAACTTTGCGTAACCTCCCAGAGTGCAGTTACCACATCAAAACCCTAGACTTGTGTGTATGGAGAAGATGCATGTGCCTTCCCACAAAGTAGTACTTGGTAAATGAGACTGGCACACAATCCTATATACTTGCTGTGCTGCTTGTGTAGGACGACACATTGGGCATACCTGACTGCTCAATATCATGATTTATACTGTACATGTTGTTTTTTATAAAATTGCTATGAAGTAACAATTTTATATAGAGATAACACCTATTGAAACTAACTTTATTTATAGTAGGCTTGATGCAGTGCTTGTAACTTTAATATGGCTTACAGCAACTTGGGATCCCCCAAATCTGTACGAGCAGGTGTATATTCTGCATCCCACAATGTATTGTGAATTCATTAGTAAACATGGTAACTGTGTACTGGATTGTTGGAAGCAATTGGGTGTACCCTTTTTTTTTTTCTAGACTTTTTGAAAAAGCAAAATTTGTAAAGCATTTTTTGGAACTTGTAGGGTATTTAGGCACAATGAAGGTGGTAACAGCCATTTGCAATTAAGTGATGGTCCAAGCAAAGCGCAGCTTCACTTTAGGGCTCAGGTTGATGGGTGGTGTTTTGCTGCGTTTCATGTGCTTTGGACCACAAATCAAATGCAGGTCAGCAAATTGCTATTCAGTGTCATTGACCAGTGCACATGATCATTCAGAGGCTGTGTTTGACCTGCATTGTATTGCATTTCTGTCCTGTGAAGGTGTTTTTTTTTTTTTCCCGGTTTTTTTAACTGCAGGCAAATTAAGTCACCCGCATTCTTTTCATGTCAGACACTTCTTGCAAATGCAGCTCTGTGCATTCAAATGGAAAATGCAGCATTGACTAGAATGCCCATCAACACAAACCCTTAAGTGAATAATGCAGCCTCTCCTGGCTTCAGTCATTTTTTTTATGCTTAATTACTTCCAGGGCACTATTATGTGGCCCTGACTTTCCCTAACACATTCATGTGAAAATTGTACCAGTTGAGGTTTTCAAAACAAACAAACCAACATGTGATTTAACTGGTTACATGTTGCTCCCTTTTTTTGTTTCTTTTCAGGGTCTGCTGCCTATCCGGACTTCACTAATCCAGATATGCGGACGTGGTGGTCCAGCATGTTCTCATATGACCAGTATGAGGTAAACTACCTGCATTTCAATCGATCCTCGCTAGGTAACACAACACCACCCCCCATCCCCCCCCCAAAAAAACCCCCCATCTAATTGTAGATTTGCTTTTCTTGTCCTTCTCAACTAGGGCTCTATGGATAATCTGTTTGTTTGGAATGATATGAATGAGCCATCCGTGTTTAATGGTCCAGAAGTGACTATGCACAAAGATGCTGTACATTGGGGTGGCTGGGAGCATCGTGATGTACATAATCTATACGGGCTCTATGTGGTGAGTAGTAAACTTGAATACACTTTGGTCATTTTTTTTGTCCAGATGCTGAATATCCACTTGGAGGAATATTAATAGGAGAAAAATGACATTATGAAACGGCAAAAGAAAAGGGTGCTGCAAAGAATCTATGGAAGACCAAACATGCATGGAGTGAGTGTTTCTATGGACTGAAGGAAATACTTTCCTCACAGGTGTCATGGCAAAGCAGAGAACCTGCATCAGGCAAACTTTAAATGATGAAAGGGAAATTTACATGTACTTAAGTGTTCACATTAAGTTGTTGATTTTTGCTTTTAGATCCAATTCAAACGTAGTGGTGCATTGACTCCCGTACAATATATAGGACCACTATACACACATTACTTTTTTTTATTTCCCTCCATCACAGTGTAGCAAACAGCAAGTGTATTGTGCATTGGCCACTACTGTACAGTGTAGTGGGGTGCCATTTACAATGAATAGGAATGCATCTCGGTAGGACTTGTGTGTTAAATGCTACCGCAACGTGTAAGCTTCTGTAAGAGAAACGGGGAGGCTGTCATTGCTGACTTGTACATAAAATTCTACTTGACTGGCTGTTATGCTGACCCTCTTTAATATTTTGAGGTGTTGACCTGTAGTATGTCTGCAGGACGTCTGACTTTTTCTTGCACTTTCCTGGCCTCCATACTTGCACAAAGTCATTGACTCAGATTGTGAAGCCATTGGGCCATCTTAACAGTCAAGTGCCTAGCATTTTTAGTCTTCGCTGGTAGCCCCTTATTTTTCTCATGTCAGATTTAGCCAAAGAATCTTTAACATTTTAAGTTCTACACCTATACAAAGGGAAGGGAGTGTGGTTACTGCTCCCCTCTCTCATGCAAGGTAGTGTTCATTTACTATACACCATTTCAGCTGCTACTCATTCAGTAGTATAAATATTACAGTTTTTATTGTTGCGTCGCAGGTTCATTTGAAACCCATTCTTCATTACAGCACCAAGCCACTGCTGAGGGTTTGATCCATCGCTCTGGAGGAAACGAAAGACCTTTTGTGTTAACACGGGCATTCTTTGCAGGTTCACAACGTTATGGTAAGATGGTACAGAAGATGTATATGGAAACCAAGGAACTGGCTGTATTATGATTATTATTTATATAGCGCCAACAGTTTGAGCATGGCTTTACAATATAAGTAGGACAGTACCGTTGCAATACAAATCAAGAGAAGATGGTAAGGAGGGCCCTGCCTGTGAGTTTATAATCTAAAAGGCGGGGTAAGTGATACAAGAGGTGGTAGCTGTGTGGGGATGAATTGTTTCAGAAAATGGTTGTATCCTACAGTTCAATCAGTATGACTCTGAGTTTTGTTTACCAGGTGCTGTATGGACAGGCGACAATGCTGCGGAGTGGGGACACTTGAAGATCTCCATCCCCATGTGTCTAAGTTTGGGTCTTGCTGGTATCTCGTTCTGTGGAGGTTTGTGTTAATAACTGATACTAGGCTATTCTGTAGTGTTTTCATTGTTCAAGCAGCTATCTAAGATTCTGCTACACTTCTCTCTTCACAGCTGATGTTGGTGGCTTTTTTAAGAACCCAGAGCCTGAACTGCTCCTTCGCTGGTATCAAGCTGGGGCTTATCAGCCTTTCTTTCGTGCTCATGCTCATTTGGACACACCTCGCCGGGAGCCCTGGTTGCATGGAGAGACCAATACAAACCTTATTCGCGAAGCTCTTCGTGAAAGATATGCTCTTCTTCCCTACTGGTATACATTGTTTTACAATGCCCATCGTGATGCAGAGCCTGTCATGAGGTAGGCTGGGTCCCATAATGAAATGTAGTGAGAAGTGCTATTTATACAGTATCCTACAGGACTTGTTTTTTCTATTTTCAGACCTCTCTGGGTTGAGTTTCCTACCGATGTGTCCACATTTGTAATGGATGATCAGTACATGCTGGGTGAGTCATTTATGCTTTTATTTTTTTTCTAGCTGCTTAATTTTTGTTTCATGGTCAAATATGAATTAAGTTGAAATATCTGTAGATGCTCCTCCTGTTTTTGCTTTGTTTTTGTTCAGTTCCTTGACCCCACATTGTATAGCCGTGTTTGTATTCACTTTGTCGAGTATCCTAGTATTAAGGTGCTGACAGTTGGACTGCAGTGGTGGCAGTAGTCTTGTTAATTGGTTATGTTTCCTTATTTCTCTAATATAGGCTCTGCACTCTTGGTCCACCCTGTAACAGAAGCCAACGCTCGTGAAGTTCAGATTTATCTGCCAGGGGTTGGAGAGGTAACAACCCTTCTCTAATTTGCTGCCAGCCTTTTATCTAGGGACGCTTTAGCCATTAATCTTGCCAAACAGATTTCCAACATCCCCATCTTTTGTCTGTAGGTCTGGTATGATGTACGTAACTATCGGAGCTATAAAGCGCCACAGACGTTTTTCCTACCAGTTACCAGCAGCTCCGTGAGTATGAGCAGAATGCTCACATTTTGTATATTATATTCACACCTTTTGTTTTAAAATGTATGTCTGTGATCTGTTTTTCTGTGCTCTTTGCTTTTGTCTGTACATCCATTCATTTCACTTTTTTTGTAATTATCGCCCTGTATTTCCAGATACCAGTCTATCAGCGGGGTGGATCTATAATTCCACGGAAGGACCGTCCCAGAAGATCCTCGTACTGTATGGAGTCTGATCCGTTTACTTTATATGTGGCACTGGACTTGCAGGTTGGTTCCCGGAAGCAGGATGGTGAGACATCTGCCTGTCCTCAAACAACTTTTACTACTGACACGTGCACAGATCTTCTCAGTTTGGCCCACTGATGGATGAAGCACATGTGCAGTACATTTTTCCCCATACAGAAGGGAGCAATTGGAGGCAAAAAACGTTTTCAAAGTATTGAAAGGAGTTTGTTACTGTATGTCTACATGTTGATATGCAGGCTGGGCTTTAGCAGCCGGAATCCTTAATTTTATTGTTTTTTTGGGGTCGGTCTGTGTTGAATCAGCACACTTTTGGGGCTTGTTCACTCTGCAGCACATGTGATAATGCACATTACAGTAAGCCGTGGTATATGTGCATTGTACCCCAGCACTCACCAAAGTGCACTAAGGAATACACTGTGCTGTGGTGATTACACTGCATTGTTTGGATGGAGTAGGCAAGGGTTAAAAGCCCTGTTGGTGTTTTTTTTCCCTGCATGCTGTTGGGGAGATTTTCCTTCACCTCATGTCCTGGAGGTGCATCAGGAAATAAGAGGAAATATTTATGAAGTAAGAGTGATTCCCCTCTTGTAAACAGCTGTTGCCCGAACAGATGCCCCTATTGTAACATTTACCTTGAATTCTTGTTCTGATGACAACTGTAAAATATTTGGATAGTACATCATTGTTGTTTTCCATGACAATGGCTACCAAATGTATACCGTGACAACTAAGAGGGAAATCTCCCAAGTGGATACACACACAGCAAAATCTTGACAAAGGTTCTAATCCTTTCCTACTCCATCCAAAGCCTAAAATGTTTTAGGCTATACATACACTTCAAGGCATGCAAAGTATAAACAAGCTCCTATTATACACCTAATAATGCTCTTTTTGCCCAGGTCTGTCTACTCCTCCATTTATTTATGTCTATTTTAGGGTGAAGCGCAAGGTGAATTATTCTTGGATGATGGCCACAGCTTTAATTACCAACAAAATGAGTTTGTCTATCGAAAATTCAGTTACAGCCATGGACAGCTGACTTCAAGGTAAAGAAGACATGTGATAACTAAAATATGAATTTCCAGTAGCATCTCAAAGAAGGACAAAATTAATTAAAGTAGTGTTAGAGCATTTATTTAGGCATAATATGGCTAATATGTTCTGACCAGCCTGTTCAGCTTTGTATGGTACTTTAAGGCTTACTTGACACCTGCTTACCTTTTTTGGTGTCCCTTGAAAGATTAAAAAAAAGGAGGCAGCAGCAGATGGGTACAGATATGTCGGTCGGTATCTGGATGGGGGAGTTTGTAGAGGGGTGAGAAATATCTGGATAGGGAGGTTATAGAGGGGGTAATAGATATGTGGTTGG